TGGTATGACGGAACTCTGTGTGAGTGGGTGTGCAGAAAACCATCTTGCACAGCCGTGTCGCAAAAACGGCCACTTCACAATGCTGAATTGTTGTTTTCTGTTTTCTAGCTCCATGTAAGGAGCAGGGAAAAAGAGCTTTGTCAGCCTAACATGGGATGGGGTGCAAGTGCATCTGTTTCGCTGCATCTACAAGTTCCCATGTTTTTTTCTACTTGCGGGCCCAGCTGCATGGCCACACTTCAGTCTCTTAGCTGAGTCGTGGTCACCCAGTGCCTTGCATGGCTGTCACACGAAGACGGCTCTGATCCAGAAATGGTAAGTAGCAGGAATCAAGCTTGACCTTCTCCCGCACCTACAACTTGGAAGAGCCCTTCCGACAGCACTTCCGGCAGATCTCAATCAGAACAGCGGCTTCCAAGCAGATCGTACAAATCCTCAGCTTCCGGTGAGCGCAACACGCTGACGCCTTGGGGTCAAAGAGCGCGGCCCAACGGGATTGGGGCATGGGATACAGTTCCGGCACTTCGAAAGACATCCCTGTCATCCTGTCATGAAAGCGGGCCAAGTCTGACCAAAGGGTCTCTTCCGAGTCCACCTCCTGAGCCTCGGAGATTTGCTCCATGAAGGCCGCCTCAAAGTGCGATTATAACCGGGTATGCAAAGGCTCGCTGGTATGGACCCGGCACGCATGCTCTTCAAGCAAGCGTGCGACATCAACTGCAAAATCTCCAGATTTTTCAAAGCATGCTTCGTCATTAGACAAGGGCTAGAGCACTTGCCTCCTCCTTCCGATTGAAACTTGTGGATGACCGTACACTGCTCCGTCGATGGGCGTAAGTCACCCGCCTCTTTTTGTAGCTGCCTCGCCTTCAAGATCAGGTGGATCAAGGACAAATTCCCGAAAGACCTGAGTTGTCTTGCGGCGCCCAGCTCCATATACCGTGCGCGCAGTGTTGAGTCGGCGCCCACGAACCCACATCAGCCTACGGGATTCTGTGAGCAGCAAACGGCAATCTTAAATCTAAGTGGCCCCAGGGTAAGACCCTCGATTCGAGTCCTTGGCTTCCAAGCTGTCTGATGAGTGATGAGGTCAGCAAAACAGCGACTACATGTTTCCGGCACCCTGTGACTCCGGTCCTATCAAACTCGATCGAAACAAACCCCAACCCTGCACTCGATGGACCATCTCTCTGCACAGGAGGCTCGCATCTGCCGGATCATTGTCGAAAAAGGTCTTCGTCAGCCCATAGAGCCACCAAAGAAGCCTGGAAGGACACAAGACGGTCCCCGGTCGGCCCGAACTATCAAGCTGAGTAAAACGAAAGCGCCCGAAGGACCGGAAGGCGACAACTGCTGTCTGGAAAGAGCCCACTGAAAACTTCAACCAGCCATGGACTCATTCACTTGCATAGCAAGATGCACACCAGCCAAACATGATACCAAAGCCGACACCAAAGCAAGCAACCATGGCTCCATTCTTCCCTACAAGGATCGTCAGGCAAGTTGGGCCAATCAAATGTCTGCTTTCGGCACATTTACAGATGACTGCAAGCTGGCATGTTGTCATCATGTGAAGCGTCATGTTGCATGTCAGTGGCTCGGACATGACTAGACCTCTGCTTGTGGCAACTCCTCTCGAGATTCGAACGAGGTCGCAGCGCCTAACACTGCAAGAGCAGCTAACTCCGCCGTGAGCATGAAACAAAAATCAAGTTATGCCTGGAGTGTCAATATGCAACCGCGAAAAGCTGAGCGACACATTCGTACACCTTATTCCAAGTCTGCCACTTGCAGTGATGCCACCCTGTGAACAAAAACACTCGCAAACCATGACAATCCTGCAACGGCCGCATTTATCCAACTTTCCACACCTCTTGAAGATCCATAAACAGGGCTCAAGACTGAGGAATCTCTGAGTCGATCCGGAATCTGCCCAGTCAGGTGTCCAGGATACACGAAGTTGTCTAGCTATTGAGTTGTCAAATCTGCATGTCACCCAGTGCTACGGATATTCGCGACGCCTACCTGCGCTGCCATGCAGTTTCGCCCGGAATGCAAAGGAACAGCAAGTTGACTTCGGGACTGCACAACACAGCTGTGACAAGGTTGAAGTCGGGTGAAGTCGCTGTCTTTTGAGGTGGGTTACCTGCATTGCATTCGCATACTTCGGATGCCCTGGCAGCACTTTGGTGCATTGACGCGAAGTTAATGTAAATGAACATTTCTCTGACGTCTTGCTATTGTCCAACAAGGGTTGTTTGCGGAGGCATTCGAAGCAGGCCTGAAATTAGACGGCTTGGTAGCCAAGCTCGAAAATCATCACCTTCCTCTGCACCGTTGACCAAAAACCCCGGAGATGATAAAGGAATACACTAATCTACCTGCACTCGAAGATGACATGTAAACCACGCATGCTGCGCAGAATTTCCTTCAGTCGTCGCAGTCCCAGGCCTCCGAGTGCAAAGCTGTGCCGGGGATTTGTGCAAAAGTGCCGTGGGGCCGGTTGGGGAAATGCAACGATGCGAAAGGCTACTGGCGCTCACTGGATCAGCACCTAGTGAATCTGGCGACTTGTGGTCTGCACTCGGAGGGTCACGAAGGTCTATGCCATCGAGGGTCTAGCAGGCCATACACGGGCCGCTGCAGGATAGAATTCCAACACCACGAAACTTGCTCTATCCTGTGTGGGCGTGGATCGCTTGGCCGAGGAGGTGCTGGGTTGGCCGGGAAGGCCTCGATTGCTGGCAATCACTCTGCCATCGCATGGAAGTTTATTATGCAGCTGGGTGAGCTGTCCTCATCTACATCATGGTCTCTGCCTGAGCGTTCTAGTATCCCTGACAGATCGCAAACCAAGTACACCGACCTGGAGTCATGAGCAGACTCCAAGCAACGAGGCGACCAAGCCTGTAGTGCAGACATACCAAATTTGATACCTCAATTCACGGCTGCTTGCCGGATGGAACCGTGACAGTGGCCACAACTGAATCGGCTCAAATCCCCAGGCCCGAATTGCACACAGCCTGAAAGCTTCGCTTGACGATGCCGTCGACCTCGGTTCCCAGAAAGAAAAACTCCGACGCAAGTTGCAAACATGCTGCAGAAAGCTTCATGCTACGCTGGTCAATCGTCCGCATGATACCCTGCACGGCATGTCGCTGCAATCCAGCCGAGCAACACAGCAAGGGACTCAAAGCTCGTTGGAAGGCCCGTAATAAGTTGCCTGCACTGGGATGCTTGAATGGAGCGCAAGGCAAAATGAGCCACGGTCGCTTGTGTTCATCACTCGCCCGCGCGTCACAAGCGAATCAATTGCTCAAGTCAAACCTTTGAACCGAGTTCCCACTGGGGCCTCTAATTCGATGGGTTTGATGAAGAAAAACTGAGAGCCGGAATTTGAAGTTGATGTCCTTGGCTGTGGGTTTCTGTCCGGACGCTGAGTGCTTGGGGCTGTGGCATGCTCAGTAAACGCAATCGTGCTCAGTTTTGCAAATGTGGTCGGCTTTGGACACTTCATTCTGTGTCTGACCTGCTATTTCCTGCCTGGCTGCCAGCTGTTTCGGCGTGAGGCCTGCTGTTCCACAACGGCTACACAGAAGAAGCAGCGAAGCCAAATCCTCCTCACGACTTATGCGTCCTCACCCCGCGCTGCACAGTGGGCAAGGGGAAGTAGACGACCAACACAGTATGGGTTCAGTGCACGCAGCCCTCTATGCACGAGGCTCCAGGCCCCCACGACGGAGCTGCGTGCTGAACTGGTTTCTATTCGTTGATCCAAGCCACCATTGAAGATCGCAAAGGTGTGGGGCCGAATGGCACCCAGCGTCAGCCCGGAGATGGGTGGACGGGGATTCTGCTCTTCGATGCTGAGGTACCTGACATTGTACTTTGGCAAACAAGGCTGCTCTAAAGCGTGCAACTCACTCCGCTTGAACCACTGCAACCGATTAAGCCTCGCTGCATGGCCCTCATACAAGCACTTCGTGTCTGAATGTGCTGCTAATGGGTCCAGCCTCAAGGCCACGACCGTTCCGACGAGCAGCAGCACGAACGCAAGGATAAGGAGTACCATCCATATCTCCATGTTGCTCCATCGAAGTGGCGAACTACGTGTCTTGAATGGGTCGTGTGTAGCATCTGAACGCGAACAAAAGGCAGCCTCTCTACAAATTGGAAAAAGCGCATCCTGGGCTGCATCTTCCAGCTGAACCGGCCGGAAAAACTTGCAACGGACGCTCGTCGGAGATGAAGCTGTGGGGTCTATGCACTTTGCTTCTGTGAGTGCGCGGCACCGTTGAGCATGAGATGGTGCATATACGTCTCGAGCCAGCAGCAAATGCGCAGTCTGTCCATTACCGTGCAAGTGCCTGACATGGCTTGGATGGCACACCATCTTAAGGTTGCCAGCTCTGGGGATCTCTGGGGCTCCCGACAGTCGCTACGTGAATAAGCAGTACCTTCAATCGAACTGGGCAGTGTTGGGCAGTGGATTCAGCTTCTTGCCAAGGCATGTCCCAGCTTGAACAAGCATAGTATGGGATCACGAAAAACCTGCCAGGAGCTTCCGTGCACACTCGCTGATTCGATCTCTCAACGGCAGTTAACTGCACAGTAACGTGTTCATTTGCCGAAAGACCCGTACTTCTTACACCCTCCTGAGACGCGCACGAAAGACCTTGCGAACGGTACCGCGGCCATTTCCTGCGCATGTGGCAACATTCCGACCGTTGCACACTTCACTGCAGGCTGCGTCGCTTGGCCTCAAACCCCCAAACGGCAAAAATAAACCAGCCTCTCTTTGAAGGGGCCCAAGGCGAGCCCACACAGTCCGCTTCCGGATCCAAGGCAACCGCTTGACTGTGAGCCAAGGGTCTATGCGCCACACGCAGTTTTTCCAAATGCGTAATGTCAAAGCCTTGCTTGGGTTCTCTGCATTCAACCAGCCATGCTGCAAATGAATGGATACGAAAAAAATCGATCATGCAGCCTGAGGCAGCGACCAGCAGTTGGGCCTAAGGAATCAGGGCTGAAAAATGGATCCCAGGCGAAACGTCACGGCCAGAACAGCTGTGTTAGTGCATGCAGCTCACATAGGATCATCAAACCAAAGCTTGGATCGAGATAAGTTCTGGCAACTGCACTTGAGCTCCAAGCACGGCCGATGAAAAGGTTTAGTTTGTACTCCGCAGCTTTGCGTACCTTCCGATATGTTGAGCTCGTAAGCTGATACAGAAACATTGCAACATCACTGCCTGTCCAAGTGCAAGCCTCCGAACTGAGTTCTGCAGCACCTGAGTCGACGAGGTGAGAAAGAATCCGCGCGGGGGCAACAGCCAATTACACTACATGCATGTTGCATCGGGCGAACAGGCTCTGTACATCAAGCACAGACGAGAGCGGCACCACCCTCCTTGGGGTCAAGGCCCAAGTCCAGGAGCTGCACAGAAAGTTTCAGACCACCGAAACATAAAAAAAAAAACACTAACGCGCTGCCCTCCAGAATGGCTGCCAGCCTGCCGCTCGCGAGAGTCCACTGATGTGTCGCTCCCATATTCAAAAGGGTCGACACCTTGCACAAGGCGGTCTTCCATGCTTGACGCGCAGGATGATCGTTCACACGGTGTGGAACGAAGACACTCGCCCACAAAGCATGGACCAAAAAACTACGCATTAAGCATCGAACAAGTCTGCCAGAACCCTAAAGTCCAATAAACGCAACAAGTCAACAAATACCTCTGCAATGTTGCATGTGGGCCAATGCGACCACTGCCGTGGTGACGACGGTGAGCTTGTATCATGATAGGAATAAGTGTGGAATCATTGCATTGTGTTAGGTGAGCAATGTTCCACGTCGCGGCACAGCTTTGTGGCCTTGAATGAGGAACGCCTCAGGCGGCCGGCTCGCCAGGCTTACCTTTAGGCGGCCGGCTCGCCCGAAGGCGGACAGCTCGCCAGGCTTGCGTTGAGGGGGGGGCTCGGCCGACAGGGTGCCTCTAGGCGGCTGGCTCGCCCGAGGCAGGCTTGCCTTTAGGCAGCCAGAAGGCGGCCGGCTCGCCAGGCTTGCCCGAAGGCGGCCGGCTCGCCGGCTCGCACAAAAGTGGCCGGCTCGCCCCTCGCCAGGCTTGCCTTTAGGCGGCCGGCTCGCCCGTTTTCTGCATTTATGTTTGAAGTCGAGCTGACAATCGTCACAAATTTGTACTGCAACTTCTTAACAAAGGTTTGCATACTAGATGGTTGGAGAAAGGTAGGGGTTTTCAGTGTGGACAACGACAAAATCCACAATTCATTATCAAAACAAACAATCAGAAGATTCAGCATTGTGTGGAGGAGCTGTGGAAAGCCCTCGAATTCACATCGGTGCCGCATCGGCTTCTTTTTTCAGACAAAACCTTTGGAACAGGATGACGATGGCACAAATGGTTTGATGATGAGGGTGATGAACGTGGAAGTAACAAGGCCGCTGCTTGTAGATCTCAATCGTTGCGATGTTGCCACGTACTCGAAAGATGCTGCTGAAGTCAACGACATCCGTTTGATGAAAACTGAGATGTTGTAGCTTAATACACCCGACCTTTGTAGAATTAGATCACTTTAATTTAGTCTAACGCGGTGAATATGCGGACAGACACTCCTTTTGGCAGCAGATTCACTTGACGGTCCTGCAGGCAGGTAGACGACCCACCTGCCTGCGAATCTGGAATTTTAATGGCTGCACATGGGCAGCAAGATGTCGCATAGCACGCCCGCGGCGTGCTCCCTGCCCTGCCCCATCTGGGGCGGGCGGGCGGGAATTTCAAGCAGCAAGCAGCTGTGAGTTTGTAATGCTACACTGGTCCTGAACTCAGGCAAGCCTGCGAAAGCAAACACACACCAAGAGTTGACGCGTAGCCTAAAGTGATTGTACTGCACGTAAAAACGTGAGATGCCCCATCACTTTAATTTAACGCGGTCAATATGCGGACAGACACTCCTTTTTTGGCAGCAGATTCACTTGACGGTCCTGCAGGCAGGTAGACGACCCACCTGCCTGCAAATCTGGCACCCCACAGCACAGCCGCTGCCTGTGTCTGGCGACCTGAAAAGCCCCAAACAAAGCGCGGGCCAGGCACCTGCAAGTGCTGAGAAAAACACACAACCTTGCTTGCGAGCAACGAGAGCTAGAGGCTAAGGGCTCCAGCATACGCAACAGCCGTTCGCGCTTGTCTGTCGGCAGCTCGGCTGTCGGGCAGGGTCCCAGAACAATATCCCACCCGATCCACTTCAAGGAGACGCTCAATCGCAATTCCAGCTTAATGGTAAGTTTAACGTTACAGCTAGATAAACCAGCAGGCACGCGCAGAGCCGAGCAGAAGATCGAGGCAGAAGCGCGAAGTTGTCATCCACAAACACTGCCAAGAAATGTCTCACACGCAGTAGCTTATGCTCGATGCGAACGAAAGTCCCGGCGGCCCTGCTCCACCAATACGCCGACCATGCGCCGCCGAAGTGGCAGGTCTGGGACATCAACCAACGCGCACGCCCCTGGCCGTCAACAACGGCGAAAAGGGAAAACCCACCACAGCACAGGCCAAAACGCGCGCGTGCCTCCGGCAGCCCACCAGGAATCCATTCAGCAAAGCCAAGAGCAACATCTTCTTCGACCAACCGCAAAAGTGTGTCTGGGTCCTTCAGACCTGAGCCCCACGGTGTGCGGTCTGCAACTCCCAGGGAGGCCGCTCGGGCACGTCCACGGAGCGCCAAATGCCCGAAACAGGAATAGTGGGACGGATGCCTGTCGGGACGCCACGTTCCAATAATCTAGGAAGGTCGGCGTCCGCATCACCGGGTAGAATTGTAGAAGATGACGCGCAGAAGGCTGATCTGGACTTCATCATCACTAAGTAAAGGGATCTCACTGCGACTCGCAACATGTCCCACCAGTCGAGGAACCAAATCCCAATCACGCACTAGCTTCATCCACTCTTGACGCAAACCGCTGAACACATCTTCTGCTTTTTCCGGATGCCAATCACCATCTGAGATGACACCAGCACCATCCCGAAAACGGCCGTGCACGCGCCGCTCCAGCGCGCTGCAGCTGCTGTCAAGCTGAACGTCGCTCAGCGCGACAAGTTGCGGCGAGACTTGGAAGCCAAATATCCAGGAGTTTACATCGCTGAGGCCAGCCTTCCGTCCATGTCCCTCTTACAGTTGGTGCTCAGCGAGCAGGCTCCTTGGACATCCGACGATGCCTACGCTATATGCGGTGCTGGCCACCTTGGTTCCTGGTCGCTCTACACTTCTAGGCTCATGCAATTTTACGCCGCGTCCACAGGCGAGCATTTCCGTCCGCCAAATGTGTCCGAAGCAGAGGAGGCCGACCAACAAACGCTGCGGGAGGTGTTTTCCCTTTGCTTCAGCGGCGCCAGCATCGACGATGCAATCACGAGTGTTGTGGTCGACAGGGGTATGCTTCGCAAGCTCAGCGCCTAAATCTGCAAGGTGCCCAAGTTCGCTCCGTCCCAGCCAACGCGCAGAGACGAGCCACCAGCCATCAAGCGCAAAGGCCGTGGCGGCGGAAGTGGTTCAGACGCTGGTCCTCAGAAGAAACCCAGCACCGCCACCTGGCTGGCATTTCTGTGACGAAGTGTGCAGTGGGTGAAATCCCCACTCTGCCTGGGACACATTCGGCACCACTTTCTTGCTTAGAAGGACACGCTTAGCGAAGGCTTTGAAAACGGACTCAGACTCGAATGAGAAGCCAAATCCTGTAGGCTTTTGGCGATACCATCCTCCACAAGAGCATCCTTCAGCAATTTGTGCCATGCTTCCAGCGCCATCCCAGCAAGAGCAAGAGAAGAAGGCACACAAGAATCACAAGCTGGATGCGAAAAGGGAAATCCTCGATGCTGTAGGCAGCGACCAACTTGGATTGACCAAACTGCCAACACGCATCACAAGCATGCACAACTGTCCCTCAGAAGCCAGAGGCTCGAACACTCGTTCGAGCACACGCAGCTGGCACGAACACACGTCCGAGCACAGCATGCCAAAGAAACTGCCTTTATGCCAAGAGGATCCCAAATTCGAACACTGGTTCGAGAGAGTGAGAACCAATGTGCCAAGGAACATGTTGCATGGTACCCGACCAACTCGAGCGCAATTAACTCTGCACACATAGCGCTCTTGGGCCTTCCACTCCCTAGCAAAACAACAGCCCGAGTGGCCACAAGGCGTCCAACCTTGGAACAAGGGGTTGGCATCTCGTAGAACTCACCAAGCATTGCAATCAGCTGACTTCGAGGCGTCTCGGGCAACTGCCTTGTGGAAGAACAGAAAGTCTTGTTCCTTCAGAATCGAGGACAAGACGGTCAAGAAGATGTCGCCCCAGGCTTCCGTGGAGCACGTACCTGAACAGCCTGAGGCCTGAATCGGGACAAAGTAGGCGGCTGGCCGTCGGGCGAGGGATGACACTCACTGAAGCAGCACTGTGAAACCGGGCAGTCTTAAGCGCCCGATGCCGCAGAGTTCCCCTCCTAGGGAGAAACGGAAGCACAGGACGGCGCGGCAGTACACAAGGAAGAAAGGCAAGCGACAAGCAAGGGGAAGTTTGTGATACTGACACTGGTCCTGAGCTCAGGCAGAAAGAGAAAGGCAACGCATGCAAATCTCAGCCGAACTTGTTCTTCAAGGCTTTCAATAGGAACTCGATATCCCAACAACTCGACAGATCCTGTGCGTGGATCCCGCGGCGCCTATACGGTGCCGGCAGCCGCCAAACAACTGTCGCGCAAGTGCCACACTCACGCAGTATTTTCTCTGTACTGCACGCGTAGTTTCTTCTGAGCTCCTCCAATCTTATCCTTTCTTCTCTCCCCTACGGAGTGGCGGCTAGAAAAGAGTCGATTTGGCAGCACTGTGGGCGCTCAAACAGACATGTCTACACTGCGACGCACATGCGTTGGACAAAGTGAGTGTCGACAGCAGCTTGGCCGACGATGCACCTGCATCCCCAGCCCAGGTGGAGGAGAACCGCGCTAGCGTTGCATGGTACCCGACCAACTGACTTCGAGGCGTCTCGGGCAACTGCCTTGTGGAAGAACAGAAAGTCTTGTTCCTTCCGAATCGAGGACAAGCCGGTCAAGAAAATGTCGCTCCAAACTTCCGTGGAGCACGTACCTGAACAGCCTGAGGCCTAAATCGGGACAAAGTAGGCGGCTGGCCGTCGGGCGAGGGATGACACTCACTGAAGCAGCACTTGAAACGGGGCAGTCTTAAGCGTGTTGGATTGGTGGCGGCTCAGCATGCTGTTACACCGATGGTTGAACATATATCTGGCCGAGACCGCAACCCCAACCACATCAAGCTGCCCAATTCCGATTGCACATGTTTGAGTCTTTCCGCGAAGCTGTGGTCGTGCTCCTCGGGCTCCAACGTCCCTTCCTGTGGGGCAGGAAGGCTATGGCTGCCATGAACGTTGGCCCATCCCCGATTAGCCAACTCCTGCAGCAACCATCGCCGCTGTGTCAAAAGGATCCCGTCTGGATGGTTCACAATCTGGCCACAAATACTCACGTTCTCATATTATCGGTTAGGTAGGTCTGGAAT